TATTTGGCTTTGGTGTCTGTTTATTTAAATAATTACTATTTTTAAGAGGGCCTTGTGAGCTGATGTTAAAATAAATTCTTAAGTCAGCTTTCTGCTGGTTTATACAAATATTGTCTTTTAGGCTACGTGATTACACATACAACTCTGCATGTGAATTTATAGCTCCATAGACATTATAGTCAAGCATTGAGTCATTTAATTTTTTAAAGTTGAGAGTCATTCATTTATACATCCACTGAATGCATTAATATGTTCAACAAACAAAATAGGAACAATATGTCCTATATGCCATTGGCTATAAAAATATAATAGTAATACAACAATAACCAGCTACTATGTATCTTATGAGTTAGTAATTTAAAGTTGCATAATGCTGTGAACATTTACAGTAAATCGTATAAGTTATTTCTCTTCTTGCCTTGGCTGGATAAGTAAACATCTTATTACTTTGATAATATGAATGGATTAGTCGCCGTCTTGCTATTAACTATTCTATTTACTGCTGTTCTTACTTTGAGCTCAAGAATTTTTTCAGAGGATCTTTACATATTTTTGTTTCAACTATGAAGGAAGGGAGGTGGAAAACTCAATATAAAAGTTTGTCCCTTTTGGGGGAATAGAAATCCTCCAAGAAGGCAAATTCTCTTTTGTTGTTTTATGGGTTCTCTGCTGAAATCATCACCACGATACTTTATTAATTAAGTGACAGGTGCAAAGCTTCTTTAGGGTCATAGGATTCTTCTCTCCCAATTTCACAGAAATTTTTCCCGATTTCCCCTTGCAGGTTGTATGACACTTTGTTTTTAACCTCTTAAGTAACTGTCATGTGTTATTTTTATGTGTGGACCTGTCTCATCTCCTCCTCTAGAGAATATGGCTTCTTCCCATCCCTGGAGACCATGATCATGGAAATCAGAAGACAGGATGGGAGCTTAGACAGCAAAGCAGCAATAGTAACACAAGTTGAGATGTAGTCAGATTTGAGGTATATTGAAAGTGAAGATAATACCACTTCCTGATCAGTTCGATGTGGGGTGTGAGAAAAACAAAGGAGATCAGGGTGCTCCAACTGTTTATTTTGGCCTAAACAATTGGAAGGGTTGGGTTGCCATTTTATGAGATTGGGATGAACAGCCCTTCAGGGGACAGGAAAGAAAACCACAAGTTCACTGTTGGACCTTGATATACCTTTTAAACGTTAAAGTAGAGATCCCAGTAGGCAGTTGAATATGTGAATATGGAGGCCGGAGGATGGGTTTCATTGACAGCTGTGCTGTCCAATGGTAGCCACTAATTCACATGTGGTTATTTAAGTTTAGATTTAAATTAAATAGAAAGTATTACTCTTCAATCACACTAGTATACTAGTGCTCAATAGCCACATGTGGCTTGTGGCTACCATGTGGAACAACACAGAATTATAATAGGTTATCATCATTGCAGAAAGTTCTATTGGAAAGTGCTGGTGTAGAGTCATGAATTTTGGAATGGTCAGCATGTGGATTGCATTTAAAACCACAGGACTGGATGAGATCACCCAGAGGAGTGAATATAGATAAACAAAAGACGAGGTCAAGAGGTTTGAGGTCACTTTGACATTGAATAGTTAGGAGATACTGAGGATTCAGCAGAAGAGACTAGGAATGGAAGTCAGTGAGGCAGGAAAAGAACTGAGAGAATGGGTTTCAGGTGGTGAAAAAAGGAAGCAGGCATTGCAGTGCCGGTGATTGGTTGAGTAAGACAAGGCCCATCAACTATTGGCTGTAACAAGGTGCCCTTGAAAGAGCAGTTTGAGTGATGTGGTGTGAAGGGATGCTTGATAGAGAAGGATCGTGGGCAAATGAGGAGAGATGCAGAGACAGAGAGTAAAGGTAACTCTTAGAGGGATTTTTGCTATAAAGTGAAATAATGAGATGGGACATGAGCTAGAGAGATATGTGGAGATAATTGTTTTCTTAAGAGGAGAGATATAATAGTGTGTTCGGATGCTGATGGGAATGATCCAGTAGCCAGGGAAATTTCCATAAGGCTCAAGAGAGAGGGGTTAATTATAGTAATGATCTTAAGTCAGTGAGAGAAGATGGAATCTGGAGCATGGTGGAGAAGAATCTAGATTTAGAAAGGAGCCAAGATAGGGCATCCTGGCTAACAGAAGGGGAGGAGGAGTGTGTGGGTACAATGTAGAAACAGGTTTGACAAGGGGGAGCTTGTGTAAATTCTCTTCTTGATGGTAGCATTGATAATTTTTATGGCTAGCCTTACTGGAGGCCTGGGCAAACTTGACATATTGGTTGTTTCTGTTGGTTTCATAGTGATGCACTTTGATCTTCACAGTCTAATACAGTCTAATATTTTTTCTTAAATCCATCCTGCTGTTCACAGCAACATTTGAAAATATTTTAGAGTGAAACCACATGCTGTGTATGACTTAGGCTCTACAATCTGTCTAAAAGGTGAAAGTAGAATATATTTCAAATGCCCATCGAAAATTTGTTAAACCACTCTTAAATCACCAAAATGTTAAGTCCCTGAAACCCCAAAAGCAAGAACTAATGTGGTTTTTTATTTTCTTGCACTTCCTTTGGGAATCCCTTTCCCTATGGCAAAGAAGTCAGAATCTAATTTGAAAGAGGAAATGGGGTGGTCCTAGGAAGTAGAGATCAGTGAATGGATTTCTTTCTCTAGCGCACTTACACTTGATTTTGCCTCCCTTATGTGCATGTCATGACACAACTCCTCTGTGTTGTAACATCCTGCCTGGTGAGCCCTAGCTCACTGTAACTCTCATGCATTTCACCTATACTACACTGCCACATGTATACATGTGGTGCACGGCATTATTTTCTCCCCTGCAAGATCTGGGCATTTCTATTACACACAGAAAATAACAACCAAGAGTGTTACATTTGAGATACTACTTTAATTGAAGGAGGAATTGAGTTGAAATATCAGTGAGCATCAAGATTATCTTCTGAATGTAAAACTTCTCTCAAAATTCTGGTTTGATTGTCAATAAAACTCTAAAGTGTCTGTGTTTACTTAATATCGCCTGAAGACATTAACAGAAATGCTGCAAAAATCTCAAATAAGGAAAGCATGCTATTTATTCAAAATGTATAAAATGTTATAACATAATCGAACACATGATTCCAAGAACAGTTGTATGACATAGCTGAAGAAATAAGAAAAGCAAAGATTGGAAAGATCCTTAGAACTAAAAGACCCTTAGGACCTTGATTTTGAGAAAGTTTTCACTGATGACTAATGAGAATTTGGCATTTGTCCATTTTTTTTTCAGTGAGGAAGATTGGCCCTGAGCAAACATCAGTAACAATCTTCCTCTATTTTGTATGTAGGACGCCACCACAGCATGGCTTGATGAGTGGTGTGTAGGTCCACACCCGGGATCTGCACCTGTGAACCCTGGGCCCCCAAAGCAGAGCGTACGAACTTAACCACTATGCCACCGGGTCAGCCCTGGCATTTGTCCATTTTAATGGTACTACTTGCCGTGTTTTGTGTTTTTGTTTTGGAGAGATTGAGGGTAATAAAGATATATCTACTAACATCTTGGTTATTTCTGGGAGGCACCAAGATTTGTTTTGTTGTCCACACTATGGAATCTCTAGAGTCAGCCATAATATTCCTGGAAACATTTAAGCTAATAGCAAAGTGGAAACCATTTTTTAGCATCCTAAGGAGTGGTCTGGTATAATGGAGGTCCTTGAACAGCTGCCATCCACCCAAGTTTAATTGAGGTGGGATGCCACCAGACAGAGATAGAGCCAGGCATCCCTATTTTTAACTGGAAATCTGCTTTGCTTCTTGAACATGAATGCCCAGTTCTGGTGGTAAAGAATTTTCCACAAGACTCATGGAGTGGGAGAGAACCAGCTATTTTATCCCTACTTTGAGCTTGAAAGAAAAAAAGAGAGGAGTAGTTAAGGAAAGAGAGCATCAAGAAGGGAGGCAAATAATGTTTGCCCACATCAGACACAAAGTGACACATTGCAGTGTTTGCCCACATTTTGTTAGAGGTCCTACATTTTATTTTAAGCTCATTCACTTGTCTTCTGTGTGATCCTGCACAAGTTTGTTCTTCTGAGTTTTTTCCAGTGAAAAAGGAGACAGCTACATTATAGAGTTGTTAGAGGCATGTTTTGAGATAATATGTAGAAAAAGCCCAGCAGGGTACCTGGCACTTGAGAAGTGCCAGTGAATTGATTGTTCTTATTTAAGTAGTCAGACTTTAAAGGATCAGATTTATCCTGAGTCTTTGCCCTTCTGAGGTTAAATCCATTCCAGTTTATATATTACCAATCCCTACTTCTGATCATATTTCTTTTTGTCTTCTCATCCTGGGACACAGTTAACAGACACATCCTCTTTGGGCAAATTCTCTGTGGAAATCCTAGTGGAAACCTGCTAGGAATCTAAAGTTGATGATAGGCAACTCCAAGAGGGGTATTCTAAGGATTTTGGAGTGCTTCCCTTGTGTCCAGCTTCTACTGGCACCCAGGAGAAGGATTATAAATTGTGGTCCAGGATACATCATACAAGCGTATATCTGTAGATTGAGTTGCAGCCATTATCTGTGGGGCATCACTGTGTGTTAGTATCACGCTAGGCTTTCAAGTTTAACGTGAAGGTTGAGACCTCATAATATTACCTTCTTTCTTTCAATATAAGGTTGAAAAAATATTTTTTATTTTACTCATGGGTATCTCTAGAGTTGAGGGTTGTGGGCTTATGACAAATGTCAAATCAGGTTTCCCTATTTACCATCTATCTAAATCACAGTTTTGATGATATGGAGGTACACATTCTAAAGCGTCATGGGAAAACTTTAAATCAACATGAAACATACTTGAGAACAATGATGTGAACCAACTTTAAGGTCAAAATGTCATACAAATATGTTTAAAATGTTCAGCGAGATTTTTGGAATTCCAGAGTCTGACCTGTATCTTGATCTCTGATTTGTATCTTACACTCGCCAGATTCTGATGCAAGGCAAAAATCCAGGGATAGCTTGGAAGTATGCACTTCCCAAGGTCGTGAATGGAACTCAGCCAGCCTCAAAAAGACACATCCACGCCTGGAGTACAGTGCAGTCCGATTGCTCCGTCTCCTGTGGTGGAGGTAGTCAATTTCCTAATTCTGTCTTCCAAGTCTCTTATTAAAACAGGTTCTTTCACTCCAGGCCTTTTTGAATTGCATGGTTCAAATAAGCAACAAAAGAACTGTCCTTTATGGGAACCATCACTGTAAAAAGTAAATATTATTGTACTATTTGGGAATTTTCCTATGTAGGAAAGAACCAATTCTCATGAAACTCAAGTCAATCACAACAAAACTCAAAAGTTATACATCTGAAACTTATGGGGAAAAATATATATTTATTTATCAATATAAGGATATATGTCTATATGTTTATATATATTTTTTATTTCCAGCTTGCAGTTTAGTTTCTCCCTATCCTGACTTTTCTGTTGTTATAAACCTCCCACTGGGACTTAGAGAAGGTGGGGCCAAGACAAGTGAGAACACATGTAAGGTGAACTTAGGACGGTCCTCTGAAATGTAGGTATTGTGTCATTCCATCCCCTCGGGGATGAGGTCAGCAAAGTCTCTCTCGGTAGACAAGTGGATTAAATCTTGAGAAATCACCCTTAAAAGGAAGGAGGAACAACAGCCAACCTCTGGCGAGTAGAAGCAGGCATTTTACTTAGATCCAAAAATATCACCTATTTGTGTGTAAGTTAATCTTTGTCACACTTGTCACTTTGGGAAGAAGAATGAAAGTCCATAAATAGGTCCATGAAACCAGAGCATGAAGGTTGGTCAGCCATTTCCTCATTTTCAGAGCACCCTCAGCAAAATGGGGCATCTTAGAACCAAAGACAGGACAGAAATGTAGAAAATGAAGAAATTCTTATATCTGTAAGGCCTATTCTTCAGGAGCCTATGCTAATTAACAAAATATGAGGAAATACTTCTGTTTTAAAAAAATAATTAAAATGTATTAAAAATGTATTCATTTTTATTGATAAACATTTTTAAGGCAATATGCTATAAGAAAAATAATCTCCCATAATTCTCTATCAGCAATAGTCAATGTCAATACTTTGTCTATGTCATTCTATTGTTTTCTTATGCAAACATAAAAACATGTTTGACATACTCAGACACTTGGCAAAGGTATCATTTTGCATTCTTTTTTTACAGAACAGAAACCATGCTATAGACATATCTTTACACTCTTTTTCACTAAGTCCTAGAGCATAAGCAGTTTTTCATATGTCAAATGTTCTTGGAGAGCATTTGTAATAACTTCCTGGTATTCCAGGGAGAGCCCAGTTTCTCGGGAAGGAGAGAGATTCTACCCATTTTCCATTCACAGGGAATAAACCCAACCAAGGGGAGGATGCTGGAGAAGTGCACTGTGGGATTGCCCTTGCCTTGATTCAGCAGTCCCTTCCCATGACTCACAGTCCATGGTGTGTACCAGGCGTCTGACGAGAAGAGTCCAAATGAATAAGTTGTCCAGCAGTAAACTCTTAACTTTAGGGAATCTCAGTGTGGTTTTGATAAGCGCCTCCTGAAAGCAAGCCTAGTTCAACCTAATCATTATAGCAGGAGTGACTTTTCATTGTTTCTCAGATTCCATTTTAAGGAAAAGTACCATGTAAATATAAATAAACACAATTGAAAGAGGAGGCAGCCTTCCTATTTGGGAAGCTGACAAATATAGTTATTCACAAAACAATGTATGCCTCTGATGAGAAGTCCTGAAACGAACATTGAAAGCAAGGCCAGTGGCGTGCCACTAAAATAGACAAACGACCAGAGTCCTAGCTGACAGGTATGAATACATATTCAGTGAGTTCAACTTTTTGTTTCTATATGCGTCATACTCTTATGGAAGTAGAAGATACTTCACGGAAAAGCAGAATCTTAGCATTTCTACACACACTTCACCAATGGCTTTTCTTTGAAGAACATTTTCCATTAGATGTGTACACCGTGAGTTAAAGCTTGTGGGATGTTGCCCTTTACAGCTGCTATGTTTGCAAAAGGTTGTATTTATCACTGTGTGGTTCTAGAACCCACAGCAGTCTTGAAAACTAAGAAGATACACGTTAAAATTATTAAAATATGAAAATTATCTCAGGGGAAAATGAGATTCAAATTAGTTGCAGATTTTATCAGAAGGAGGTGTTTTCACAAACTATATAGATGCTGTATCTTCAATAAAATATCAGAACCCTGGTAAATCGGAAGCTAAACTTGGAAACTAAATTGAATTGGTTATCTGTAATTTTCACTTTGTAACTTTTGATGTCTCGCTAGGTTACATAAGTGTAAAGGCTGTTTGCTTACGAGATCAGAATACTCAAGTCAATTCCTCATTCTGTAATGCAAGAACCAAGCCAGCAACTGAACCCAAAATATGCAATGCTTTCTCCTGCCCTGCCTAGTAAGTCATCTGGAAATGTCTTTCTGGTTAGATTTGTACTTGTCTGCCTGTATTGTTGATAGGAGATACTTAAAGCCACTGTCAGTGCTTCCAAGCAAAAGTAATTCAAAGACAGATAGAATGCCCGCCCCCCTACCCCCAAGGAAAAGTAATAGAAGAAAGAAGAAGATAGTTGAGGTTAAGATATATAACTTGAAAACTCAAATTTGCTGTAGACACTCATTTGACTCTGGCTTTGACTTTACTTTGGGATAAAAAGGCCTAAAGATGTCTTTTTTTTTTTTTTAACCTTTGCCTACAGACCCCTCTTCTCTGAACTAAACCAATCACAGATTTAAATAACACAGAATCCTGTATTAGTTAAATTTACATGTGGTTGTGTGCCTAACTTTTATATAGTCTTCCAAGAATTTAAAAATCATAATACTAAGCAGACCGTGAAACCCCAAATGCAAATTACACAGTAGCAAGACACAAAATAAAAAGAAAGGGGTAGAAGGCGAGTGGTCATCCACTTCTGATGAGGGTACAGTCTGGGGAGCTCAGTGGGTTCATTTTTGGATTGACTTTACTCACACTATTGTTTGAACCCTAATTTTGAGTAATCTTCCCAGCCAAATGGAGTCTCTTCTTGTGTGATTTATCTTCTGCCAAATGTATTTATATAAAATTGACAGAGTTTCTTCTAAAGCAATGTTGTCTTCACTAATGTTTCAGATCATCTTAATAAGTAGTGTTTGCTTTGTGGTGATGCAATTACATTGCACAATCCTTTTATATGCATACATATATTTTTTCCTTGTAAATAGTGTGTTTGTCATAATTGTTTGGGGCTTCAGCTCTCTGCCAATCCCCTATGCCCAATTGTCAACCTAGTTTTTCTCTTAGAATCTGGAACCAGCTGTATCCTGAACACAAAAAGGAGAAAGAAATTTGGAGGGCTTCCAGGGATTTTCCTCTTTTGCTAAGAAGTATCTGGTTCTAAGAAATATCCAGCGGCTGTAAGACGTGATTACCTGACAGTGTTATTGACCTTTATGGGGTAATCTCTCCTTTAGATGGGTGTGTGTGTGTACCTGTACATGGAGGGTTTGTCAGTACACGTAGGCTTGGATGGCAAGCTGATGTTTTCTTATTTTATGCCTCCTTACCATCATTGGTGATCTCTGCCAAGTGAACAAAGGGATCCCATTCATATGTACATCCACGAAAAGGAGGGGAGAGCTGAGGTCATGCCAAACTCCAGAACTTGCCTGAGGACTACATGTAGAAATGACATTCTGTGCAGTAACATGTTTACTGGCTATTTACACGCAGAACAGGCCCTTGTAATGACTCTTCACACTTGGATTGGTGCAATGGGCAGGATCTCTTGCTCCCTTCCTTCCCTGCGCTCTATTATTCATATCTCAGTATTTTCTGTTGAAATAATGGGGGCTTTCAGGATCTGTTCTTCCTGAGGGAGATACTAGAAATAAGGGCTTAGACTATTAAAGTTATAAGGACAAGGGAGTTCGTCTGATTTAACTCCATTATTTTCCCAAATAACAATCATGTCATATATCCTTATTGTATGCCAGCTCTGAGCTGAGAACTTGGATGTGGAGATGAATAGCTTGTAGTTCCTGCCATCAGTGAACCCACAACTGAATGGAAGAGATGGATGTGTAAAGAAATAATTAAGATGCAGTGAGATACATGCTATAAAGAGTTATGTATACAAAAGCAGTAAGGGAGAAAATGGACAGTGTAGGAGTCTGGGCTCTGAGGGAAGGGTTGAGACGGAATGCTGAGGTGGAAAGTGAGCCTGGGGCCCAAGTGCAGAGAGCCATGCATGTCATGCAAAAAGTCGAGGGCCAGCCCTGATGGCCCAGTGATTAACGTTCTGCATGCTCTACTTTGGTGGCCTGGATTCAGTTCCTGAGCGTGGAGTCATACCACTTGTCTGTTAGTGGCCACGCTGTGGTGGCAGCTCACATTAAAAAAAAAAAAGAAGATTGGCAACAGACATTAGCTCAGGGATAATCTCCCTTAGCAAGAAGAAAGTCTATCTGTGTTATGCTCTTTCTGGTAGTTTTACAAACTCATCCTATTTGCCACATAAGGGAAAGGAACTTGAATTTGGTAGACAAAAATGCCATCTTTATAGGCTAATGTTGAAACTAATAATTTCATAGTAACGTATATTTTCTTTGCATCTTGTTATAAGATGCAAATGATGGTATAAACATAAGAAATTATGTCATCTTTCTTTAAATAAGATAATATGGATTATGCAATGTTTTAGAATACATATAATCCTAGAACTCGTGCACTAAATTCTCCAGACTAAAGGTCTTTAACTTCACACATTAGACTTGTGAGGGACATTAAAGGAAAAATTATAGGACCAGGAGAGGTGATAGAAACACACAGGTGTAACAAACACATATTTGGTCTTAGTGATGTTTTATTTCTTAAGATGGTACTTAGACTATTTGTAAATCAAGGTCAATTTTAGACATTGCTGCTATGACCGAAGTGTATAATGATCATATCTGGTGGATCTTTTTTATGCTAGGTCTTCAAACCATAGAATTTCAATTAATCAAAAGTAGTTGTTGAAAAGGATTAATAGTTTTATTAGTAGTTGATCACCCTTCAATAAAACAAGTCTCAGATAACTGAAAAAAGTGATCTGGCAATCTTTAAATAAAGAACGCAACTTATATCTTTAACCCATCAGTAAATTTTAAGACTAACCAGAAAAGAAGTTGGAGGAGCTATTTAGAAATATTCTCTGAAAGATCTCTGAACGTGCCCCTCTTTCCTGCACATGCACGTATGTGCATGCTTGCGCACACACTTCTCTCTCTCATTGATCTCTCTTGAGTTAGTCTTATTATTGTACTTTGTATTAACTTCTATTGTGGCAATTATCTGAAAGTATTGTCTTTATTTGTTCACATATCCACCTCTTCACTGTCTTGTAGGCTCCTTAATGGAAAGAACATTGCTTCATTCATTTTTCCAGCCCTAATGCCTAGGAGAGTCCCTGGCACAGGGTAGGATCCCAATAAATTTGGCTGAATGGATAAATTGCTCAGATTTCCAAATGGCACAAGTTTCTTCCCCTGCAGAGGGCAGGAATGCATTTTTCCCCAGAACTGTGCGGTGATTAAATGTGATCCATACAACTGGACCACATTAGTGTAGGTTTCAACATCTATGAAAGAATAATTAGTAGGAATCACTCTTATTGGTTCTAAAATTGATCTAAGGCCTTCATCAAGTGGTTAATCTTTCACAGTAACTGCTTTGGACGTGGTGCTCCAAAGTCTCAGCTTCATTGGAAGTAATTTTGTTTTTCACTGAAAGTTGGAAGCCAGGCGAATGGAGTGTGTGCAGCAGGTCATGTGCAGGGGGCCAGCAAAGCCGAAAGATCCAGTGTGTCCAGAAGAAGCCCTTCCAGAAGGAGGAAGCAGTGTTGCATTCTCTCTGCCCAGTGAGCACACCTACTCAGGTTCAAGTCTGCAACAACGACGCCTGCCCTCCAGAGTGGAGCCTTGGGCCCTGGTCTCAGGTGAGTGGGAAAGTCTTGGAGTCAGTGGTCTCGTTCCCCATGGAAAAAGAAGGTAGCAAAAATAGAGGTGGTGTCTTTGCTCCCCAAGGGGGGGTCTCAGCTGGATATCTTCATGGGAATGACACTGAGTTAATGTGATGGGGCATTTTTAATGAGCATTTCTAGTGATTCTTATGCAACCTGAAGTTTGGGAACCTCTGTATGACAGCTTAGACTCTTCCTTAGAGGTCCAGAAGTTAGAGTGAGGGGGCTATTTAGGCTAGACTGGTGAGCACAGCCAGACAGGATTTGAATGGTGGAGGATTGGCACACGAAACTGGCTACTGAATTCTCCAAAGCAGATGGAAAATAATACAAAGAGTGAGGCGTAGAAAGGAGATTTAACTCTTACTTCAATGGAAAGAGGTGGGGTTCAAAGAATACAGAGAGGAGTTGGGTATAAATTTTGCTATCGTCACAAACTCCCAGGGAAAGGTACAAAATTATAAAATTGGAAGAGGCATTGTGCTCCCTGTCATTCCCAACTCAGAGATTCTCAACTGGGGGTGAGTTTGCCCCCCAGGGGGCATTTGGCAATGTCTGGAGACATTTTTGATTGTCATAATGTGGAAGGATGGTGCTACTGGCTTCTAGTTAGTAGAGATAAACATCCTACAATGCACAGGACAGCTCCCCAAAATAAAGGATTATCTGGTCCAAAATGTGTCGAGGGTGAGAACTCGATGATAGCCCAGTCTCTGATAAACCATGCATGGCAAGCCAATTTTAGGGAATAATTTTAAAAAATGCAGGGCTTTCATCGCCCGAGCTATGAAGCCAGGTAGCAGCGCCTGGCCACGTTTCGGGCACATGATATCCTAGAGCATGTTGAATTTTCATAGGCTTAGCAAAGCACCACCACATCCCCGAGAGAGTTTAGAATAAGCCTTTTTTTTTAATGAGAGGATATTATGTGATTTTTTTAATGTTGCAACTATATCCGTTAGGGGTATAAGGATCTGAGAATGGGAAAGAATATCTTTGAGCATGCTTAGGTGTCCTTTAGAATAAGGGAGAGTGTTCATTTGTAGCAGAGGGTAAATCTAAGCAGTACATAGTGTTGAGGCTGGTCTTTTTCTTTGCAGTTAGGAGTTATAATTTACAAAAGGAGATTTCGATTCAGCCAAATATGAATGGAGCACAGAAAAAGGAAATGAGGGACTGGGGAGGTTCAAATGGGACCTCCTGAAAAGCAGCTTACTCCAAATTTCACATGGAAATATTTTAAGAGAGTATTTTATTTCTTTTTCGTTTTTAATTTTCTCTTTTATTTCTTTATTTGACTACTAAAACGAAGTGTGTCCTTTTGAGAACTTGTTCATGGCTAATACGAAAGATGTCCTTCAGAATTTGTTACACAGCCTGTTCTTCCGTTAGGGACCATGTCTCTGGACACCTCTTGGAAAGCAATAAAAAAAATTCACCATTCTTAAAAAAAAAATGCAAACAGAAAATAAGAATTCTCTTGAATGAGGACTAACCATTTAGAAATTTTGAATGTGACTGAGTGACGCTGTGTTTCGTGGGCGTAACCATGGTCTGATATCAGACAGATCTGTCTGTCCATCTCTACTCCTTGACAGCTTTGATTGATCTTGATCAAGACACCTCAGCTCTCTGATTCTTAGATGCCTCTTCTGTAAGATGGGAAAATAGCAACTATCTCTTGGGGTGGTTAGAGGGTTGGGTGATACAGGCTCTGGTATATGCTAAAATTCATCATCACATGGAAGGCAGTATATACGTGTTCTCTGCTGTGGTTTGCTAATTATGATAATATCATCATCCTACCTCCATCTCCCTTAAGGATGTGAAGAATGAGAATTCACCTTGGTCCCCTGTGCAGGCTTGGAACTGAGCCCCAGATGTTAGCACACTGACAGAGCCCAGGCCAGAGGGGCCACATCTCCTATGGCTCCTCAGAGAGAAAGCAAAACTGTAAAGACCGGGGCAGGGCAGGGGGGACAACAGGACACGGACGCATCCCTTGAGGGCAAACCCCAGCCTGGAGCCAAAGTCTTCTAAGTGACTTTGGCAAGTTTTTCACAACTCTTCTGAGAGCAAGGAGATTTTTGCTGCCCTGTGTATTTCACAGAGTTCTTGTGAAGGTCAAGAAGATAAGAGCATGATTCAAGAAGTGATTCGCCCACCACGCAAAGGTATCCACCAACATTTGATGAGTGTTATGGACTTTTCCCCCATAGTTAGCACAATGCCCAGCCCAGAGATGGCACAGGTTAGGGGCAGGAACTGGACACCCGTAACCCATTTTGTTAATGTCACAGCCTGTTGCTATTATACATGTGCATATACTTCTGCTATAATTCACCTTCTTAGAAGCACTAATAATTCTTTTTAGCCAAGTGCCCAGATAGACTCTGCCTTGTGCCAGAGAGAGACACATGGTTACACCAATGAATAGGCCACGGACCACTTTCCAAACTGTAATCATGAGTGCTATATATGAAAAGAAAACTTCTCCATTATGAATAAGACTTGTCTTCCGACCTGGGGCAACACAGCAGCCACTGGCCATTCAGAAGGTTGAAGGTGGCTGCGCATCTGCACTTAAGGCTCTGGATGGAGGAAGGGTTTCTCTTACTGGCTGCAAGGGATTTTGTTGGCATTTGGTTCTAATGCTTAAAAATAGTTTTGCCAATACTTCATTAACATATTTTCAGTATTCACCTGGAAGAAAATCATTTGAAACTAACATGCGGATTTTTTTTTTCTATCTCAAGTGTTCCAAGACCTGTGGGCGAGGGACGAGGAAACGAGAAATCCTGTGCAAAAGTTCTGCCGCAGCAGAGGACCTCCCTGAGAGCCTGTGCTCCAGCATCCCGAGACCAGAGTCCCAGGAGGGCTGTGTCCTAGGACGATGCCCCAAAAACAACCGGCTGCAGTGGATCGTCTCTTCGTGGAGTGAGGTATGAGTTGATATGTACTGCTTGGGTGTTTCTGAAATGCTCAGCTCACCCACCAACATCCAGATGCTGAAATCTCCTTTCTGTTCCACACACATCTGGTACATGTGTGTACACTTATCCATTCTTCTCTCCTGATTGCTTCATCAAACATTCACAAAGCACCCATTGCACTGATTGGGCCTGTGCCTGGGCAGTGGGGGTACAAAACTTCATAAAGCATTTGTATAGAAACATGGGTAAGGTGTGCAGAGTGCCTGGATGGGGGTCTGTAATTCCATGGGAGAGTGTGAGGTCCACCCAACCCTGACGTCAGGAAGAATCCTTGTCAGAAGAGACTTTCTAGGGAGCATGAGCCTGAAGGATGAGCAGGAATCAGGCCCAGGTGGGGTTCAGGGGAGGTTGTTCCAGACAAAGGGGGCATTTTAGAGGAGGGAAAGATGAGAGAATATAACACTCAGTCTGAAAGGAATGGGGGGAGGGGGTGGAAGCCGGGAATGTTATCAGGCACAGACAATGAGGGCCTCAAGTGACAGACTAGAAATATGTCCTATAAACATTGGGGAGCCAATTAAAATTTTAAATAAAGAAGCGGAACCATCAAGTTTTCCTTCTAGAGAAACGGAAACCGGTGTGAAGCAGGCAATCCCGGAGGCAGGAAAGGTGCTTGTGTGGATATTGCAGTAATTAAGATGAAAGACGAAAGTGTTTCAGGGATGGAGAGAAGGAATATCTTTGAGAGTTCTTAAAGAGGCCGTGTGGTGAGGGCTGGCCCTGTGGCCAAGTGGTTAAGTTCTCATACTCTGCTTCGGCGGCCCAGGGTTTCACCGGTTCAGATCCTGGGCACAGACATGGCACTGCTCATCAGGCCGTGTTGAGGTGGCATCCCACATGCCACAATTAGAAGGACCCACAACTACCCAAAAAAAAAAAAGCACAACTATGTACTGGAGGGATTTGGGAAGAAAAAGAAAAAAAGAAAAAGAGGCCACATGGTACCTCCAGGCATATGTGGGAGTAGGGCAGAAGGAACACTAGAAGATGCCTCCTAGACTTCAGGCTTGGGAAACTCAGTTTAGTTCACAGACATAAACAACAGGAGAAAAGGAGCCCATCCTGAAGTACACATCAGTAACATGTGAGACGAGGTCTCTGCTCTTAAGGAGTTCACGGTCTGGTGAGGAAGACACCAAGAAAGAGAAAAGGTCAATAGTGCGGATGTTGAGGTCCGGTAGAGGAGAGCTTCCATCCCAACAGCCACTGATGGATCTTTTCCATCAATGCCCTTTCCTTCTATCTAAATGATAAGTATATAGCACGTCCATCTCCTCCTCACCCATTTTTTTAAGAGACGTTGTACCCTAATGGCTAAAACTTGGGCTTGAATCAGAATTACCCTATTGGAATGCAGCCTTCAGTATTTACTCAGGGGGTGACCTTGGGCTCACCACTTAACAGGGCTAAGCCTCACTTTCCTCATCTGTACAATGGAGGGGTTGTAAGGATGAAGCTTAGTGTCATCGTTATATTTACGAGTTACACTCTTGCCAATTCTTACTGATTTATTCACTTTATCAAGGTCCCATACATCATCCCATAATACTGTTTAAAATACTTAAAACAGAAACAAGTTTTCTCATACTTATTTCATTAGCCTCCATCCTCCTTTGCCCTGCCCCCTTTTTTTCCTGTCATAACATAGCATCAGGTTATATTTCAGCCAAGGGAGAGGAAAGATAAAAACACAGGAGAATTATTTGTTACAGGTGGCTCTTCCCATGTAGCTGCTTCTAACCCTCATCTCTGTGCCTGCCTCCTTGGCACAGACTCTTGACGACTCAGGGAGGCCTCAGGTAGACCTGGATATCCAAATAAACACTACACAGAGACCCTCATCTCATCCTCTGCCAACCTTGTCTTTCTCTCGGACTTCGTCTTACTCACATCCATGTGGCGTCTTGTGGTCCCTGTTGGACAGTGCCTCATGGTGATAATGAGCTCTGTGACTTTGGGAAAGTCATTCAAATTCTCTGGCCTCTGGTTCCTCATCTATCGCATGAGGGCCTCGGTTGCTGTACCTTTAGGATCCTTGTGTACGTGTGGTTGACTTGCCTTCATCCCATCTCTCTAATTTCACATGGATGGTGTGTCCTTATGTCAGAACACATCTGCTCAGCAGACTTGACTGGGGAGCTCTGCACACTTACACCTTCTTTCCTGGCTCCTAGTGTTCTGTGACCTGTGGTTTGGGTGTGAGGAAGAGGGAAATGAAATGCAGCGAGAAAGCCTTCCAGGGAAAGCTGATAACATTCCCAGAGCGAAGATGCCGCAATATTAAGAAACCAGACCTGAACTTGGAAGAAACCTGCAACCAAGGGGCTTGCCCGGCCCGTCCAGTGTACAATATGGCAGCTGGATGGTATTCATCGCCATGGCAACAGGTGAGCGCTCATGGATTTAGGAGGTTTATGTTTAAGTGATATTCAAAAAAAGGAGGCAGTCCATCCACTGCTGCTGTTAGACACCCATCCAAACATAACAAACAAAGAGCTCAAGTTCTGGAGGCAGAATGGCTTGAGTTCTTGGGCCAGCTCCACCACCTGTGTAACCCTGGGCAGGTTACATAATCTGTGAGCCAGTCTTTACATTTAGAAAATAATATCGTGAAAATTTTTTTCACCACTAGAGTCTTCTCTGTTTTGGGAATGCTGCTCACAGTCTTGACTCATTTGGTTCTTGTGTTTCTGAATAATATAATAGCTAACATTTGTCACACCATTACTATGCACTATGCAGTATGTCCTCAGGAACCCCAAACTGTGTTTCGGTCCTTGCAGAATTCCAACCAACAGATGTTGCATAGCTCTTCAAAGAACCCACTGGCTTGAGAGGTGCTGCCCACCCAACCATTTAACACAGGGGCCAGGTGGAGGCGTGTGTGAGCACAGATGTATGTCTATATGTGTGTTTATATATACATGTGTGCATGCATTTGTATATATGTGTGCATGGGTAAGTACACATACAAATATGCATATGTTTGTGTGTCTGGGAGGATCTGGGAACTAAAACATGAAGGAAAGGAAAGGAAATTAACATCATTGTGTCTCTCTGGCTGGACACTGTGCTAGGTGCTATGCATATTGCTATGGATTTCTTTTTTACAAGATAATTTAGATCAGGGATCAGCAAACAATTGCCAGCAGGCCAAATCTGCTCCCTCAACTCCTGCCTGTTTTTTGTAAATAAAGTTTTATTAGAACACAGCTACGCTCATTTGTGTATTGTCGATGGCTGCTTTAGTGCTACAAAGGGAGAGTCGAGTAGTTGCAACCCAAAGCCTGAAATATTTCTATCTTGCCCTTTACAGAAAAGCTTGCCACCTCTTAGTTTAAATGATTTGATGACAGTCATATATTTGAATGTTGAGTTAATTCCAAAACTCGTACTCTTTCTAACCCAATATATTTTTTCCTCCCAAATATCAGTCCATATAGTGATGCTTGTCCAAGATGAAGTCTTCACCTATCTGCAATAAGGATAGTGAATTTTTTAAAGCAAATCAAAATAAAGGGCTGCTTTTTCCCTGCTAATATTTTCTTGTTTTTTCTTTTGTTATGAAGTAACAATATTAACAATATTAAGTCTTCATAGTGTGTCTGGAGAAAATAAGTTGATAGTCCTTGCTAGTCATCTGTTTTTGTTTGTTTTAATTTTGATTGGACAGTGAAATCCTTGACTTCTAGGAAGCACCATATCCACCAAGCTAACTCAGAACTTGGCTGGGCAGCAAGGGCATAATTCCAAAGCTGTCTCAGGATATCATTTCTTTTGCTCTCCTGGTTTTGAACTGTCCCGTCCACTATTGCATCTGTAGAGATTATCTGCAATTCTTTAAAGACCGTGATTAATGGCCAAGATGTGTCTGTATTTGTCTCTGCATTCTTACGGCAGCTTCTGTATTTCTGGAAGCTTTCTTCTTTATGAGTCACTTAACAGAGAGAGAGACACTCTTCAGCGAAATAGATAGCATTTGCCTAGGCCCCTTCTAATCAGATCAAATGGCTCCCATGTGTCAGAAGAGATTCTGTGGACCGTGAGCACATGGACCTAGCTCTGGACAATCACTGTTTTATTGACAGGTGTCTTGGTAATGTCATGAAGCATGGGGATTCCTTCTATTTGATGTCACTGACATCAGAAAGGACACCATCCAGCTGAGTGTTTCTCATTCCTTCCATTTTCCCTCTTCTGCAGTGCACGGTGACCTGTGGAGGAGGGGTCCAGACCCGATCGGTCCACTGTGTTCAGCAGGGCCGGCCCTCCTCAAGTTGTCTGCCCCATCAGAAACCTCCAGTGCTACGAGCCTGTAATACAAACTTTTGTCCAGCTCCTGAAAAGAGAGGTAAAGGGCCCCACACTCCCGTCACTTTTACTGGTCTTCAGAGAATTTTTCAAAAATGCACTATACTTAGTTGTGCAACTTGTACATTGCATCACTCTAGGCACTGCCATTCACATCAAAGTCGATGTGAATGGCACCCCTTGGAGGTGTGCAAGGCACAATCTGGGACAGTGCTGCTCCGAGTGATCTTATTTGCACACTTTTGCACGGAACATTTAATTCTATGGTAAGGCTTTTTTAGCCATTAATTCTTACTTTGAAAGGGGGAAATGGTAATCTTCCAAGTCCATTTTTTTACACTAAATTTTAGTTGAACAAATGAAAAAGTGATCACCGTCTGCTAGAGATTATGCTAATCAGCGGGAATGCATGAGTGAATGAGAATTGCCCTCAAGGAGAGCACATTTTAATTGAGGAGACAGATCAATTACAGTCAATTACAGTGAATAGGTAATATCCTAGGACTACGCCTTACGTGTTTTCTTAGTCCAAGTCAGTTCAGATGAAGTACAGTGAGTGCTGACGGAAAATCACGAAATTCAATGATCTGAATGAACTATACCATTCCTTAGTAGTGTAACTTATTCTAAAGTAATCTAACGAACACCATGACCTATTTTTTCAGCCTAATCAGATTTCCTTGTGCTAAAGAGTCATTTTCCATAATGTACCTGCTGAGTTTTCTTTTTATCCAATCACAGCTTTTTCAAGACTGTCCAGTTTCTTCTGCCACGTTTTCCAATGTGTAGTAAATCAGATCTGGGATTGTTACTCACTTGCTCTCCCCTGTCCATTATCACTTCCTATCTCTAAATTGTCGTTGATCTACTTCTTCAAGACTTAGCTCCAGGCTCTGGGCATCGATTTTCCCTCCTCTCTGCTTTCTCTCCTATCTTATCTGAGCCTTGCGCTAGACCAGAAAACTAGTTATAGAGCGGTTTGTCAGAGCCAGATCACCTCTAGGCGATGCTGGAATTCTATAAACCTGCAGCCGTCTTCAGCAGAAAGCTTCTGGGAGAAGAAACACACATTTTGAGCAAGTGGTCATGTTCTCCCAAACCATGTCCTTCCTTCACTATCAGTAATTTCAGATTTCTACCCTGTAGTCACATGGCCACAGATGAACCCACATATACAAAGACTGAAGGAACCAGATCCTAGGGCCTTGTCAGTCATTGTAAGAAGTATACCTTTCACTCTGGGTAGATGGGAGCTAATGGGAGACTTTGGGGCAGAGACGCGATGTGAACTGGCTTATAATTTAAAAGAATCACTGGGACTACTATGAAATGGGATGTGTGTATAAAAGGGAATTAGAGGCAGAAGAACCAAAGCTTGAAGAAGGAAATGTGGCAGTTTTGAATCATGGAAAGATAGGATCCAAATTGGGAGCAGCAGGAAAGCAGCAGGAGAGCTGTGAGCCTTGTATGTCATGAGCAGAGGCACAGCGGAGAGCCACTGAAGGTTGCATTCAGAAGGGACGCGACTGGGAGCCCATGAGCGGTGGGTGATTTGGGGTGAATTGAGGGTAAAGTCAACTTAAGGCTTACATAGAGGAAGGGGAAAACAATTCCAGCTAGGAATGGGAATACTTATCCATGTATAGGGTAGACTCTAAATACCGTTGAATCGAAAACACTGAGGATCCAGTAAAACAACGGGGCCCCACCTCCTAAATGTGCATTTAAGTTTACATAAAGATGATTTTACATACAATTTCAGGTGCATTCTGTGTTGCCTGAGGCCCTTCTGGGTAAGAATCTCAGATGTACAATGTTCTGCTTCTAATAGATAATCACATCTGTTATCTTATTTAAACAACTAAAGAAGTTAGAAAGGACTGGCGCTGACTTAAATTCACTTATTTACAAATTGGCTATGAGGAGAGTTGCAGCTGGGCCTTAAATGCAGGTGTCCTGATTCCAAGTAGATTAGGAGTAATGTGTGTGGACCAGCAGCATCAGCATCCCCTGGATGCTTGTTAGAAATATAAATCTCAGTCCTCACCCTACACCCTCTGAAGCAGAACCAGTGGTTTAACAACATCCTTGGGGGGGTTCCTTTTGCATTCCTTTAGATGCAAAATAGTAGCTCCCACGCTATTTGGGGGAGGGTCTGACTACCCTCTAGCTACATATGACTTTTTTTTTAACATCCATTTTTCCCCCCACCTGTTTAAAAGTCCCTCAAGGTGTCTTAAATCCTGCAGCCTCCTACCAAGGTCCTAATGTATAATGGAGGAACCACTCAGAGGCACAAGGCAGGTTGACCCAACATCTTTGTTCTGTAGGCCCTCACTTTAAAAAAAAGGCTAAGAACATTTTCCTAACATGCTTAAATGTATTTTCTCATTTCAGAGGATCCATCCTGTGTAGATTTCTTCAGCTGGTGTCATCTAGTTCCTCAACATGGTGTCTGCAACCACAAATTTTATGGTAAACAGTGCTGCAAGTCATGCACAAGGAAGAGCTGATCTTGGTGGCTTCCCCAACACAGCAGGGCCGTGTTTCAGGGCTTTTCGACCTCTAGAGAGACCAGCTGCCTTCCAGAACAAAAGCTGAACACTGCAAAACCACTTGTGAGCTGCCGTGTTCAAGGAGCCAGCTCTGAAGACCAGACTGACTTATTCAGTTCCCCAAAGCACATGGTACTCTGAAGCACTTGAAAATGGGAAGCGATGACATATCTGACTTAACAAAAAAACAAAAACAGAACAACTTTCATTTGCACTGTTACACGAAAGAAGTGATGAATCACACTGAGATACGTCAAATTTTAATTTTGACAAAGCAAGAGTCTTGTCAACTTTGGGACAGATCCCCCTTTGAACTTCAAAGGGTTCCATGACAAAGACATCTGTTTTGAAAAGTTCCTTTAGGACTTCAGGTCAAAGGCTGAGACTTGGAGCAATCACATCTGGATGGAACACGTTGCCTAACTGTTACTTGGAGCTCACAGTTTGAACTGTGGACACCCTAAACCAGGAGTTCTACGAGAAACCAAATGGTGCTCATGATTGTGCTTGCTGCTGGACTAGCAAGCTTCATGTTATGTTTATTTAGTGTGCGTGTGTTGTTTTTATTATTTTGTTTAAAGTATATTCTGCTTATAGAGAGTCTCCAAGACTAAAATTCACGACTTGAAAAGTGTTCCAAGGAATATTCTGAAAACAGGACATCATGGACTATTTAAAATCTCCATTTAACTGAAATTCACTTTCTGGAAAAAACACACCAAACTCATACGAAAGGCAAATATTGGCACACTACACATTATATCAACCTCGTAACTTTTGGTGCTAGCTGAATAAGCACACGGGAGCCTTGATTCTGCTCTTTGGGAATCAGAATTGGTGAGATGTTCATTTCTGGTAAAAATCTAGGAGGAGCTAAATAGCAGAAAGCAGTGCTTTGAAGGAGAGGAGACCATCATTTATAAGGCTCCCTACATATTATCAGAGCTGCTTGGGAAATTAAAGGCCACTTGTGGTTTTTTCCTACCAACTTATGTGTTTAAATTTGCCTTAGGATTAAGTTAACAAGAAAAAAGTCCTAGTGGCAATAGAAAAATCCATCTGTCTTCTTGCTAGGTTGATATTAATAAGTCATAATATGCCAAGATCCTTCAATGAATAAGAGTATTTTATAATTTTTCAGATGATATTTTCAGTCTTCAGAAGCCAACTGTTGGTATGTACTAATGATCTTAAAATTGTTCTCAATTGGAAAAACACCACACTATTTTGCCAAAACCGAAGTAACTTAACAAGACTGTGTCATTCTATAATTTTTTGAGATGTGGTTAAAAAGGGCATATTTATATAATTCTACTCTATTCCTCAATTTCTTTGATGAATGTAACCCGATTTTACTGCTTTAAAAAGTCTCAATTCAAACAGGGATTTGCCAGTTCAGCACAAACAACTGGACAGTGGTTTGTTAAATTTAGAGCATCTTTTGTTCCTGTTCTAATTAAAATCATGCATCCTTGAATCTCAGAGAAATAATGATTAGAATATTTTCTTAATCTGTGTGGCTTGGCCTAGAGTAGTGGCCATTTTATCATCAGAAGAAAATAGTTACATATCACCACCCTCTTGCCCTCTGAAAAATTGCAAGTTACTTGTTTCCTTATATAATTATCATTATTTTATGGAAAAATTAATTTATTAATTAATAGCCTATTATGTGTTCTCACTTGCTTCTCTGAGTAAGTGATATTAATTCTGAGGGAAAATGTTGAATAAAACCATGGGTTATAGAGAAAAGTCAAAATATATGTGTAATATTTAATTATTTTATAAGTTTTATAATAAAGTGCTCTGTTTCCTTATCTTTGAAGCTTGTTAAGTTCTTGAATAAATTAGAAGTCAGTCCTTTCCAAGGTGATTTAACTGTATAAATGTTAAGAATCTCAGAGTAATTTCTCAATGAAAAGTTGAGAAAAAGGTGCGGGGGGAGGGAGATAAGATACTCATTAATTAATGATTTTTCTTGTGTTTGAGAAAATCAGAAACCATCAATGCTGGGATGAAATAGATTACATTTACCATCTTATGAGATACTGAATTATTTTTTCTACTCTCATGGTCACATAAACATTTATTTATGGAAATCATCCAAGTTAGTAAGCATAAATGTGGTTTGTTTTTCATTCTTTTTCTATTTGAAAGACATTCTGATAAAATCTTTCTGCAAAAAGAAAGAGTGGAGGGGAAGGAAGGAGGGATGGAGGAAGAAAAAATAAATTAAAAAGCAATTGTTCTCAGCTTTTCCAAATTTCAACTCATCAGACCAGTGGAGAATAAAAACTATCTGGGCAAAGTAAGTCCAATTGACCTGAATATACAGTATTTCTCCCTGCATATGTGATTATACACATTCATATATAGGTATGTAGGTATATGTATATATGTGGATCATTTATGCATACATATCTTTAAAATATATTTGAGGATTTTTATATGAATTATTGCTATTTGGCAAACATAAATTATGGTCAAGAATGAAAAATGGAATAGATGGCACAAGAGAGCAGTTATCTTTGTACCTTTTGGTAATAAAATATTAATAAAAGAAACCATAGAGTAGTGTTTAATGGGTGCCAGGTCCTGTGCCAAGCCCTTTATATATGTTATCTCATTTAATCCTCACAACAGCCTACTTAGGAAGATACTATAATCTTCCCTTTACAGATGAAGACTCTGGGATTCAGAGAGATCACCTGTTTGGCTCAAGGGCACATGGTCATCAAGTGATGGATCGGGACTCAAAGCCAGGTCCGTCGAACTTAAGAGGTTAATCTCTTGTCATTGCGCTGCATTACCCTGGGAGAGATTTAAAAAAAGAAAGAAGGCCATCTAAGCCTTAGAACTATTATGGCCTATGAGATGCATGTGAAGAGGATTTGGCAATAAACGATATGACACTGAAGAATTATGAGCAGAGCTGGGATGATTTAAGATAGGGAATTGGGGACAGGAGGTAATACATTCCCACCTAGCCTGTCTTTTCAATAAGGGATACTGAAAGACTTATTGCATAACTGTCTTTGTTCTCTAATAACTGCTCCTCTCTGGGATGATAGTGTTTCCTGGGCAATAGCATGTGGGTGTCTGGAGTCTACAACACCAAGGCCATTAGGATGGAGAGAGAGTGAAGAACAGTGTTCTTGGCATGAATGCTATATGCTGACTGTAGGATGACCTCATGGCAGTGTGTATCATGCAAGAAACAGTTTATGGAATTAATAGCATAGAACCCATCATTGCTAAATGCAATGTAGAATAGGCTACTCACTTATGTTCTGAAGGGCTTTATTTTAGAAACGGTAAAAATACGTGTATGGATTCCATGTTTTGTCTGCATTACCTTCCTCATAAGATCGTAAGTTCTTGAACACCTCTGTGGTCGCCACTGATGCTGAGGATCTTAACACCTGCAGTGACTTTTCATTAGTCATCCCTGGGTCAGGGTGACTGTATCTTCCCCCTCCAGAGATGACCTCGGGGAGAAGTGATTCTTGAAGTGCTGTCGTTCGTCTTGAGCTTCCCCGTAAGCACGAAACACCTCTACTAAATTTTTAATTTAAATTTATTTAAGTAAAAAATGATTTGATCTAAGGAAAATATTGTCAAATAAAGCAAACTTTTTATAACACCTTTAAATGGAAAATCTGTATTTGCCATAAATAGAAGGTAGTCATACAAGCCCACTAAATATTTGAATTAATTTTAATTAAATATATAGTCGCTATAATTGGTTTACAAAATTCATATCTGAAAAAATTCCTCAATGAGAATAAGTGAACTGTTCATAGTTCCTCAGGAAATTCAGTTTAGCATCACTAAGCTTAGGATAAAGATCGAATTTTCTGTCAATAAGATTATTTTTATCTTGAACCACAATTCATATTTGTACATAGAAAAGGCAAATTATATCCATTTAATTGCATCTTTGCTGATAGACATTGAGAATTGTGATGTAAGTGACTTTTTTTATTCAGCAAATTTTTTGCTTACAGAAAATCCATCAGGAGTAATGTCCAGATTGTATTTTTCGGAATGTGTCCAGTTTCTGCAAACAAATGGCAAATTGCCTTACCCCTGCACACAACCACCATCTTGTTTGAATGTGATGAGGAGATACTTGCAAGGTATTTCTAAGTGTTTTCCTAAACTATGTTTAGTGAGGGACACAAGTGAGTTCATAATCAGGTCATTCAATAACAAAGTAATTTATATAATTGTTGGTTGGTTTATTGGACAAATGAGGTCCAAGGATTGTTCACAGCATCCTATTTGGGATGAGGAGGAGACAGCAATGTCTAGGAAAAGAAAACCCTGTAGGCCGTTTCTCCCCAAGCCCCTCTGTTTCTTTCTACCCCTCTTCGCTTCTCCCCTACATGGCCCTGGCCTTCCCATTTAGGCTGCCCTTGCCCTATATAGGTTAGGAGCCCACCTGACGTCACCCAGTGTTGCACTGCAATGCCCACACCACTTGTTGGAAAACACTACTCTAAAGGAACTCTTGGTCCTCCTTGACCCTCCGTGGGGGATGCTAGCCATAGAGGAACTAACAGACTTTCTAAAACTGGTGTGCAATACAAAGAGTGGCATTTTCACTGTAAGTTAACAATCAGAGCCCTGGAGGAAATGGTCTTTGAAGGTGAACCAGGGCCAGGGGTTGTTCCTGCTGGAGACAAGGCCCAGACATGTTTCTCTCTGACTCCTTTCTCTCTCTCCTTTCATGTGGCTGGAGCCCAGGAAGGATGGGCAGCCCCGTCTTGGCAGAAGGCCTTGCCAGCTCCACTGTTCCTTACCACGCACCTCTGTTTCTGCAGACTCTCATTCCATGCTCCATAGGGCTGAGTAGCTCCCCTTGCTTAGAAAGCGGGTCCTCTCTCCCCTGCCGCATCCCCTTAGAAAGCCAGTTTGGATCTAGAGTGAGTCTCAGGATGATATTTCTAAGTAATTAGCTACATCACAATCACTTAAGGATATTTTACACATAAACTTCCCAGGCCCCATTTCAGAAACTTAATTAATTAAGCCTGGGGGTGGGGCCTGGGAATTTATATTTTAAAGGCATTCAAGTTTCTCAGAGGAACAGCTAGTTTTGGAACCACTGGTCTAGGGCAAAGAAAGAAGTGCCTTGGGTCTGTCTGCCTTGTGCAGGCGAAGGAGGTCCCTCAGCACCACGCCCTAAGTGCAGCTCTGCAGTGTCTGGACCAAACTCAGCTAAAGATAAAGGGGCCTTGGCCTAGTCTCATTGTCTGCATGTATTTTTCACCTGGGAAACTCTTGGGGCAGTAAATGATGGGTCAAGGAAAGGACTCACAGGCAGGGACCAGGTCATCGTTCTCTGGGTTTCTTCTCATTCCCAAGCATGTCAGTAGCCTACAACAGGGTTATTGAGGGCAATTGGCCATTTCTCTCAGTCAAGCCCCACATGCAAGAACTAGTGTACTGTGCTTTTTAAAAAGAAAGGACAGACAATAGAGAAGCCAGTGAAATCCCCAATGCAAAGTGTCTTCTGGCAAATTACTCCCAAGGCCTCATGTGTGTGTGGAGAAACTCACGGCGCAAGAAAACAGTTGTACTCCTGAGATCCAGAGTCAAGGAAGACTGAAGGCTTCTGTCCTGTTTCCTGCCTAGTCATTAGGTGCCAAGAGGTGAATTAATCATTTTTATGAATCAGGCCAACTGTCACTTCCTTACAAATTGCCAGAAATGCATTGGCTGACTCGACTGAATGAAAATGGGAACTTCAGCTTTTGTACAACAGAAGGCAAAACACAGCGTCTTTGATCATATAGGGAAGAGCTGCTAGGAGGGTGCTTGTCGGCCACGCGAAAGTACAAACAATTTCACGGCTTGTGCTGTTCTGGGCCTCTGATTTTTCTTGTTTAATGGCTAATTTCATCAATTTACGGGGTTTTATTTTTTAAAGATTGGTTCCAGATATTTAGAATGAACATGTCTATTTATATATCTGCACAGTCCTAAACCAATAAAGGAGTAATTGTTGTATTCAGCAAATTCTTTCCTTTGTTATGATGCCCACATTATCCAGGATTTTTACTACTTGCATATTGGTCAGCTGAGGGGCAAACATTTCTCATTTTCTTAGAGGTTAGTATTTGTTTTCATGCTGAAAGTCTCTCTGACATAGAGTCACACTCACCCTTTTGCAGATTGGTCTGCCTAAACTAACATTTTTTTCTGCATTTTTGCTATCTAAATATACTCATTCTTTCAACAAGCATTTGTTAAGCATCAACTGCAATGTGAGATCCAAGCACAGAAACAGACCTTGTTCCTGACCCAAAGGGACTGATACTTGAAAATACGGGATGCTTATCCATATGACCATTAGGCGATGGTCCAAGGTCACAGAGTCCTAGATTCTTTTTTAATTCCTCACTGTTACATTCACCCCAGTCAACATTTGATAATGGTTGTTTTTAGTCTGTATGATTGTGAGTATCGCATACACAAATCAGGACCATGCAGACTGCAGTCATGGGTTTTTTTTCCCCTCTAAAATAAAATCACAAAATTATAGTATTAAGAAGAGAGTGGCCCACTTGCAAATTTGTGTGTAGAAATTAAGAGCGGGAAGAGAATTTAGTTATCACTTCAAACTCTCTCACAAATGTAGAAACTGAGACCCCAACATTTGAGGGGCTTTCCTAAAATTACCTAGTGAGTTAATGATAAGTCCAGTTATAACAATTTTGATGCAAGTATACTTTTCACTGTGTCATAAAATACTTGGTGATTTTTTTTCACTTGATAGGCACTTTTCTTGAGTTTAGTGACAATTTTAATGAGCAGTGAGTTTCAAATAGAAACCTAATAAGAAACATTGCTGAGTTCATATGATATCTATAATTCTAACTTAAGTTCCTCTCCCCTAAAAGAAATGCTCTACTACCATAAGAAGCATAAAAATGCTGTCTTACTTCCTCCATGTAGGGCAAAGGTGACCTGATGGAAGTACCAATTTCTAAAACCATCTAAGACAGTCCCTTTCCAAAAGTCTGGTATCTTCAGGGAACTGAGCTAGAGCTTTGCCCTGAGTCAGGAATTAAGAAGTATGTAGAAGGTTGCAAATATACTGCATATATAGTATATTTAGTCTGTATATAGTATATATACAGTATTTAGTGTGTATATATATATATATAGTATATATAGTCTGTAAATATACTAAAAACCATGGGATTGGACACTTTAAATGGGTTGATTTTATGGGATGTAAATTATCTCTCAATAAAGCTCTCTAAATAAAAAGACTATGCTCCAAATGAGGACTACCTATGCTCACGTGAATGGTCACACAGGAACTGGGTAGAGCTAATTCTCCCTGTACTGTTCATACCCCATCGGGGATATTTACTTGGTGCAACACAGCAC